AACTCAGTAATTCAATCATAGAAAAATAATAAATAAATAAATCAACTTGTTCATCAAAGCAACCCAATGCAGTTTCAAACACAGATATGTAGGTCCTATTTCACGCAATTTATTTTAAGTTAAAAATTAATAATTAAAAAATAAAAACTAAAAGAATTCCTTCATCACTATATAAATGTTTAATTTTTTTTATAAAATTTTTGTAAACATAATCTAAAAACGTAATCGTTACCAAACGCTACCTTAGTAGTGAGTTATCGGATATATATTTTTTTTCGACAATAGGTTATTGGATATATATTTTTTGTTCAGTAGTGTGATTTCGGGCTGTTTGATTTTGTTTGATTCTGGTATACCGAATAAAAGTTGAACAACTCTCTTCAAAAACAAAACGAAAACATAAAAAATAAAGGGAAAAAAAATTACCATTTCACTTTTTTGGTGTTCCTTCATCACCATTATTCATTTATTGCTTTATTTTACGATAAAAAACACTATGATTATCATTTTTTAAAATTAGTCGTATAGTAGGGAAAAAGAAATGAGAAAGCAAGAAAAGAAACATGGATTGAAGTGTAATAGGTGTAAAGAAATAATTAAATCTATTTAATTTTTATCTTTTATCCTTAAAAGTAATTTCACATATGGGTGAAATTGAAAAAAAAAAAAATCCCAAATGGAGATGGTAAAGAGATAAATGTATTGTGCAAGTAAAATTTTCCTTTGATGGTAGCTATTTAAAAATTAAATTAAAATAAAAAAGGGTTTAGGTTATCATACATTGCAACTTGTCCTTTGCTTACAAAATTAAAAAATGACTTGTAGTATTATAGTATAAATCCACTCATTTCTAGAGGGGGCGCACACCTGTGTCTATATATATATATACATATTAGCGGTAACCGTGTAATGTATGGTCTCATATGGTTTTAAATGAATAATCTAAAAATATGATTGCAAAACATATGAGGTATTATGATTTTAGATTAATATCATCCGCATTAGCTATCCTTGTTCATTTATTTTCGATGAACTTTTGATAACCAAAACAAAACGAAAAAAGTAATTCAATTAAATAAACAAATAAATCATTAAAAAAAAAGTTGCAATTTTTTTCTTTTTAAATGGGGAAAAAAGTTACAGTTAAATATCAATAAGTACATATAATTGAGAACTCTATTTTTCTATGAAGGGAAAAAAAAAATATTAAATAAAAAATTCTGTTGCCAACCCACAAACAAAACAAAATAAAAGACTCAATTACTAAAGTTTTTTATACAAAAAAAAAATATATATATATATATATATATATATTCAATACCGAATGTAGAAAATAAAAATGCATTAGAATTGCATAAAGATACACAAAATTAAATGTTACATAAAAGCATACAAATCTCAAAACTATGTGAACCCATCACTAAAATATTTTCAAAAGATAATATTTTAAGCACAAAAATATAGTGAATATTCAATGACTAAGTTAAATTAATCTAAAATTCTCAAATAAGAGATAATTTTTTAGTTTGGTAGGAAATTCTTTATGAAAATGATACACAAATAATATGCTTACACATTTCTTTTTTTTTTTCTTTTTTCAATTTTGGTACATAATATTTAACATTGATGCAATAAAAAAAAAATTGTAAGATTCAAAATCTTTCTAGCCGTCAAACTTGACTATTATATTAAAAATAAATAAATTTATTATGTCACTTGCACAAAAAAAAATTAATTTAGACAAAAATTACAAATGTGTGAAACATTTCACTCATACCTCAAAAATATAAAATTTTATATAATATATATATATATATATATAGAGAGAGAGATGGTTTGATTTTAATCACAAGAGACCAAGATCATTGGGGCTGAGCTCAAAAAATAATTAAAAATTAATAATTTAGTATTCATGCCATTCATGTTGATAGCTAATCTCTAGACTTGAATACAAACAACTCTGTTTGATTTGGTCAATAATTTTGCATATGTTTACAATCAATTGTAACATAACTATTTGTATAAGAGGAGAAAGATGTGAAATTGGATAATATAGACTATGTTTATATATTCAAATCTAAATTAAAATTATCTTTATTTTGAATTTTCATGATAGATATAGAGTTGGTTTGGAAAGTGGGTTGACTTTTTGACTTTTTGATTTTTTGATTTTTTTGGCTATTTTAGCCTGAGCTAAAAAGCTTGGCTTAGGAAGGGCTTTTTGACTTTTTGATTTTTTTGATTTTTTTTGTGAGAGAAGAGTAATGATTATGAGTTAGATGTGATGTTTTGTTTTTTGTGTCTAAAATAGCATATTTTGTCTTTTGTGACTAAAATAGCCAAAAAAACCCCTAACCCAACTTGCGAAACGGGGGCATAGATTATCTTTATATAAATTTTCAATTCAAATACTTTTAAATTTTCCAACTTCTTCTTCTTTTCTTTTTTTTTCTTTTTTTTTTTCTTATTGATAAGTTAAGATTTTCAATTCAAGTACTTTTGAATTTTTGGCAAAAACTTGGCTTAGAAACAAGTGGCCCATAATTTTTTTAAATTTTTTATTAAAAAACAAAAAAAGGAATGAAGATTTTTGGAGGCCTATAGATTATCAAGTCAAATATATTATTATTGAATTTTCAGAATGTTCTTTTTTTTTTTTTTTTTTTTTTTTTTGTTTTTTTTTGTTGTTGTTGTTGATAAGTTTGTGTTTGAATAACTATTATTCCAAGAACATATTATTATTATTAAATTATTTTACAAAAGAGTTTTTATATAAATGGAAGTGATGGGAGAGGCATTACTGAGAAACTTAACTTAAAAATAAGTGTCACATAATTTTTTTAAATTTTAAATTTTATAAAAAATTAGGAATGAAGATTTGTTGGACTATACACTTGTTTATATATATAATATAGATTTGTATTTTATGTAAATTTGTAAGCACATTTAAAAGCAGAAGTTCTCATCTCTTATTCAAAGTTGACTAAGCCTCCGTTTGGGAAGTGAGTTGATTTTTTAATTTTTTGACTTTTTTGACTATTTTAACCTGGGCTAAAAAGCTTAGTTTGGGAAGGACTTTTTGACTTTTTGACTTTTTTGACTTTTTTTGTGAGAGAAGAATGTAATGATTATTGGTTGGATGTGATGTTTTGTTTTTTGTGACTAAAATAACCTATTTTGTCTTTTGTGACTAAAATAGCCAAAAAAGCCCAGAAAAACCCTTCCCAAACGGACCCTAAGGAGCCAACTCTCCTGTGTTATATTATCCTTGCCTTGTTTCACTGTTGATTTCCAGACCCCAACAAGAAAATAATCAATACAAAATGTGATTTTTTTTTATAAAAAATTTCTTTTCCCATTTGGGTTGTCAACTCAGTAATTCAATCACAGAAAAATAATAAATAAATAAATCAACTTGTTCATCAAAGCAACCCAATGCAGTTTCAAACACAGATATGTAGGTCCTATTTCACACAATTTATTTTAAGTTAAAAATTAATAATTAAAAAATAAAAACTAAAAGAATTCCTTCATCACTATATAAATGTTTAATTTTTTTAACTTATTTAAATTTTTACCTTTTTTTTTTGTCTCATAAGTAATAAACATAACAGCAGTGCTCCAGACTCCCATTGGGGGGTGACCCCAGCACCTCCACATACACGTGGGGGCAGTGAGAGAAAGACCCCCAAAAATAATAAAAAAATAAAAAAATTATTCAATCAATCAAAAATTAGTGGGGGGTGATGAGAGTCTAAGTCATTTTTGTAAACATAAACCGCACCAAGTATTCTTGCACAAATTTCCAAGACAATTGTTCTGCCTGAAATGGCACCTTCACATCCGTCACAAAATGTATCATTTTTTTAGGCACAGGCTCCCCTTCAGCCCCAGATTGGATTGGAGGGTACTGTTGGGCTTGTGAGGGCTCACCACGAGTCCCGTTTGGATAATCCAAACCGTTGAATGTGTAGAACTCATCAAGTTCTATATGCTTATGAAAAATCATATTGATCGAATATCCATAACTACGTGATCAAATCAGTTTTGTATATAAAAAAATACACAGTGAAAAAATAAATGATTGATAGAAAATTGATCCGATGAGATAGCAATTGATATCCGATCAACGTGATTTTTTACAGACATATAGTACTTGACAAGTTCTATACATTTAACGATTCAGATTATTGAAATGGGATCTGTGGTGGGCCTCCACGGACCCAATAGCACCCTCTAATTTGATCTGGGACTGAAAGCCAGACCCATTTTTTTAATCAATCAAAAGTGTAACCTTCCCCAGCGCCCCCTCCCCTTCTTTCTTTTTCGTTTCCCATTTGGGTTGTCAACTCTGTAATACAATTATAGAAAATTCAACTTGATTCAGCAAAGCACCCTAATGCACATACAAACAATAGACATGTAGGCCTTGTTAGCAAGTTGAAAGTCAACAATTAAAAAGGAGAAATTATAAGTATCGCTCCTTCACCTTCTACATAATCAAAATTTTAATTTATTTAAATTATTTTTATCTCATAAGTTGTTCCTTCACCTTCTACATAATCAAAATTTTGATTTATTTAAACTATTTTTGTTTCATAATAAGCAGAAATTGCACCATACAGTCTTACACAAATTCCCAATACCTCTGTTCTGCCAGAAATGCACCTCTACATCCATGGGGTGAGACGAAATTTATCACTATTTTATACATCAATGTATAGATTTTTATTCAGTTTACTCTCATATAATAATATCAATCAAGTTTAACATCCCCAAAATGTGCACATCCATGATAAAGATCTATATCTTTTGATTCCATTCAATAAATTTCATTCCAAAGACTAGATATAATTCCATTTTCTCACATTAAAATACAGTGGAGAGGTAAATGTTGGCTTCACAAGAAGGCTAACACAAAGTAAGATTCTCGAACATTTAAAATGTTTCATCATTTTGATTACTATATTATCATTTTTTATACATTGGAAGGTCAACAGTTAAGATCAGCTGTCATCTGAAGTTTCAATAAATGACAAACTACATCAGCAAGGCCAAGCTCAGAGACAGGGACTAACATGTTATTCTAAGAACATGTTAATAAATTTGCAACTTAGTCTACAAAACCTCATATGTAAGCTTTCACCTAGCTAAACAATCCCGAGTCGTACATAATCCTGTCCGAGTAGATTCAACAACAGATGCCAAACTCAGCAGTGTCGTAGAGGGAACTCAACAATCTCACTTTATCGTAAAGGAATTTTGTGACTAATGTATTAATCAACATACTTAATTTTAACAAAAATGGTCACTACAACCAACCCCACAAGTATGTCAGAAATAATAAAAAATAAATAATAAAAAAATTAGAGATGACCAAAACTTACTTGAAGTTCATCCATGTAGGCTCTATATAGCTGCAATAGAGAATGTATATAACATCACTTCCTCCTTTTGTATTCCAACTTCAACCCTATTTCAGTACAATCATGTTAGTGTCTGTGATCTATTCTGTGTTCCTAACATTTTTGATATTGTAATATCAATCAAGTTTAATATCCCCAAAAAGAGCACAGCCAGGATAAAGATGTATTTTTTATTCCGCTCAGTGAATTTCATTCAAAAATATTTTTTAAGAGCAAAATGCTGGATTCACAAGAAACTAAACATGGTGGGATTCTCAAATTTTTTTAAATATATCATCATTTTGATTACTAAGTTATCATTTTTATACTACATTGGACTGTCAACCAGTTATTAGATTGGCTGTCATTTGAAGTTTCAACAACCGGGAAGGCCAATCAGAGACATGGATTACATATTATTCTAACATGCTCATAAAGAATGAAACCCCACAAGTAAGCTTTCACCTAACTAAATCAACCCCGAGTTATACATAACCCTGTCCGAGTCATGTAAAAATTCAGATTCAACAACAGATGCCAAACTCAGCTGAGTCATAGAGGGAACTCAACAATATCACTGAATCATAAAAGAATTTGAGATCAATATATAATTCAACATACATAATTTTAACAAAAAATGGTCACTACAATCAATCTCACAAGTATGTTAGAAATAATCATTATAAAAAGACTAGAGATGGCCAAAGCTTACTTGAAGTTTATCCATATTGGCTATATATAGCTGCAATGGAGAATGCATATAACATCACACTTCCTTCTTTTGTGTTCCAACTTCAACAACCCCATTTCAGTACAATCATTATCAGCTTGAGCTGCCCTACCACAAAATGCAATGGCCATCCCTCTATCCAAGATGGGCATGCCTATCAAGCGAGGCCATAGCGGTACCTTCCGGTCCAAAAAACCCATTACAACTCCAAATTCCAATCAGAAATGGACCTCTCTAGGGCTATCAAGAAGAGGAGACACAACTACAATGCCCATAATAAGTGGGGTGACATCTCGAAATGACTCCACCATTGCAGTCTCGGATCTTGAAAAAGAGAAAAAGAAGGGATATTTGGGTGGAGAAGAATTGATAGATGAAACGCCCAACAGAAGGTTAGCAGACTCTTGGGAAGAGATCCACGGTCAACATGATTGGAATGGCATGCTTGAACCCATTGACCCCCTCTTGCGATCTGAGCTAATACGCTATGGGGAGATGGCACAAGCATGCTATGATGCATTTGATTCTGATCCGTATTCTAAGTATTGTGGAAGTTGTAAAACCGAACCTAGCAAGTTTTTTCAATATCTTGGCTACAAACAGTATGGCTACGAGGTGACCCGTTACAACTATGCCTCATACAACGTCAATCTACCATTCTTGTTCAAGAAAACCCTCTCGCCCAATGGATGGAGACCATCAGCAAATTGGATTGGGTATGTAGCAGTTTCAAATGATGAAACTTCAGCTTATTTGGGGCGTCGGGACATAACCATCTCTTGGCGGGGCACAGAAACAAAGCTCGAGTGGATTGCAGACTTCACCGACTATCTAAAGTCAGTTTCACATGGAAAGATCCCTTCACCAGATTCAAGAGTCAAAGCTGAGGCCGGATTCATCCAAGTCTACACTGATAAGGATATCACTTGCAAATTCTGCAAGTACTCAGCAAGAGAGCAGATTTTAGCAGAAGTCAAGAGATTGATTCAAAAATATGCGGATGAAGAACTGAGCATAACAATCACTGGGCATAGCCTTGGAAGTGCACTAGCAACCATAAATGCATATGACATAGCAGAGACCGGGGTAGATGTCATGGATAATGGGCGGGTTGTGCCCATATGTGTGTACTCATTCTCAGGCCCCAGAGTTGGGAATGATAGGTTTAAGGAGCGGCTTGAAGAGCTAGGGGTAAAGGTGCTAAGGGTAAGAAATGTTCATGACGAGGTGCCTAAAGTACCTGGGATATTTTTCAACAAGCAAGTGCCTCCGATGATGCAACAGGTAGGTGAAATGTTGCCTTGGTGCTACTCACATGTTGGAGTGGAAATTGCTTTGGATCACAAGTGGTCTCGCTTCTTGAAAGAAAAAAGCGATCTAGCATGCTACCATAACTTGGAGGCTCTCCTGCATTTGCTTGATGGGTTAGTAATTTCTTCTTTAGTTGATTGGTTAGCTTTGAAGCATGGACACCTCTCCGGAGGTCACATATCAGTGTCAGACACATTGGGGACACGCAGTCTCTAGCGTTTTTGTCCCGCATATTTTGAAATTTTGCATGTCCGCAAACCCATGTTGTGTCTGTGTCCATGCTTCTTAGTTGGTAGTATCAACAAGTGAGCTGTCCAAGCTCATCATGAATGAATCCTGATAAAGTCTGATAAAGTCAATTAAAATTCTGTTATGCAAACTGAAACAGGTACCGCGGGAAGGATCAAAAGATTGTGCGTACCCGCAAAAGGGATCTTGCACTGGTGAACAAATCATGTGGCTTCTTAAAAGATCATCTTCTGATCCCACCAAACTGGTGGCAAACTGAGAACAGAGGTCTGGTTGAAAATCCAACAGGCTTCTGGAATCAAACTGAGCGGCACGATCTTGAGGCACATTTACAACTGGAGGATGTACAACATTACCTCTGGCCACTGGGTCTAGGGGTCTAGCTTCTGGTAATTAATGTAGTGATCAATATAGAGCCCTGGAACAAAAGGAGTACAGGCAGTCAGGTGTTTCTCTGAATGCAAGTTCCATGAATTTGAAAACCTTTTGGAATAAAAAAGACAAAACCATTTTTATGATGACCTTTAATCAATTAATAGCAACAGTTGGCAGATTCCTGTGTGCAATGAAAAGTGACAATAACTCATGGTTGTTAAACTTGTGATTAACTACAATTTATTGTGAGTTATTACAATTTTGATCAAGTTCATATTTAGTTTTGTTTGCCCAATGTATGAAATGGCATTTTTTCGCCTCCCTACCAAATTTTTTTTTTCTCTCTTTTTTTTTTTTTTTTTTTTTTTTTTTTTTTAAAAAAAATTTAAAAAGAAAGATCAATAGATGTAAGTGGTTTTATATATGCAATTTAGTTACACTATAATTTTATACATATATACATATATAAATTATCTATCATATCAATAAAGTGAATCTTACAAGTTCGTATTGGATACGATTCACTATCCCCTTGTAAAAGAAATTATGTACCTCAAAAGGACATAAAACAACCTTAAAAATAAAATTTAGCTTAAAACAGCTATTGTAAAAGATGATGGAGCAAACCTCAAGCCCAAAATGAAAAGAGGAACTACATTGCTGTCAAATTTTCATCCAACAGATAAATAGTAAAAATGCTTTACCGTGAAAGCATGATCCATCCACCAGTGATCATAAGATGCTGCATTTTAGATGAAAGCATCCATTTACCACTCTTCCAGGTCCTCATCAACTTAAAGGCTGCTAAATGATGAAATTCAATCTTGATGGCATAGACTCCTATGAAGCTTGAAGCAAGAAGCAATTTACTGAGGAAAACATTGCATAGCATCAATGTTCCTGAGCACAAAATCAAATTTTGGTACATACTCTTCAGCCTTCAAATGATTCACTAGAGCTTGATGGGTCTCATATATCTCAGTTTTCATGACACACGAGGCCTACCTTGAATAAAAATTTGCAGACATACCTTCACCTTCGATCTAACAGCAACCAAATGGTTTTCTAGTCCTTTTCTCATTTACCAGTTTCCTCTCAACATCCTTCCACCTTCCCTTAGATCCATAAATGTAAGATAATAAAATGCAGGAAAGAAGCCATTAATCAAGTATCACTACTTCACGCTCTTGTTGTAGCGACAAGATTCCCTCATTTGCTGCATTACGAGCACAAGGTATGTGGAGCCTAAAATTACAAGGTGCACATTCAAAGCCTGAACCTTTGAGAAGTTCACCACAACGGTTGCATGGGGAGATATCATTAGGGTGTCGAACATAAGTAAGAAGGTGTGGGTGGCCTCCAACATTGAGCTCATCCCCAATCTTGATATTTGAGTATTCATCAACTTGGATGCATATTGTATGAAGAGACTGGTCACAAACACTGCAGTGATAGAACGGACACTGTGGGTTTATTTCACCCTCACAAATGTCACAATAATACTCTTCTGGATTGCCAGAATAGGTTAGGTTGTAAGGGTGTTTGTCATATCTGTGCCTAACTGTACATGGCAAAAAGGCACACCGTGTCTAACTTGAAATCGCAAATGCCACATACGAGCGCAACTCCAGAACAATTATAATTACATCCAATGCACCGGAAATCCAATGTTGCCTCGAGAGCAAGGGTGTGCATAAGGGCTTCATGTTTGAAAATAAAAAGGAAGCTGCCCTGCAAATTGGCTTTACGGATGCATTGTATCTGAAGAGATTGATTACAATCATCACAGTGATAGAACCAGAATTGTGTGTTTAGCTGTTCCTTGCATATTTCACAGTAATACTCATCTGAATTGTCTTTGACAGCAGAGTAGGCTAGGGTGAGCGGGTGTTCATCACATTTGTGCCTAACTGTGCGTGGCAAAAAGGCACATCGCAAGTGTATATTGAAATTGCAATTTCCACAAACAAATGCAACCCCGGAACACGTATACTCACATACAGCACACTGAACATTCGAAGTTTTCCTTAGAGCAAGGGCGTGCTCATGAGCTTCATGTACAATAAGACCTTGCAGGAGAGCACACTCAATGTCTAGGAAGAAATTGCAGGCTAAACAACCGAACAAAACCCCATTGCAACACATTTTGCAACTTTGGCATGAGGGGGGATCAGAATATCCAGACTGCCATCTATTCAAGATGAGTGGGTGTTGGAGGTGAAGTGGATGTCGCATTTCAATGGGTAACTCAGCACAACATTCATGGAGAGAGAAGTTGCACTCAGTGCAACGGTATAACGGAACTGACATGGGTTTTGAACATCCATCACAAACCAGCAATTTACTATCGGAATATGATCCATCATTGATCTGCATATCAGCAAAATATAATGGATGGGGATGACAAACATGATACATCTGTGTTGGCTTCGTAAAATTGGGGATCCCATTAACAGATTCATCAGTCAATGGCAAGCAAATCAGATTGCCCTCAAGTTCTTTAGCCTCTATTTTTTGGTCAATCTGTCTTATTTTATGAACCCTAAAGGCACAAAATCAAGAAAAAAAAAGTCAATCGAATATCCAACATCCAAATCAGCACAAAATCAAGAATAGAATGTCAATCAAATATCCAATATCCAAATTAGCAGCAAATCAAGAATAAAATGTCAATCAAATATCCAAATTAGAACAAAATCAAGAACAGAATGACAATCAAATATTCAATTTAGCTCAAAATCAAGAATAGAATGTCAATCAAATATCCAAATTAGAACAAAATCAAGAACAGAATGTCAATTAAATATTCAATTTAGCACAAAATCAAGGATAGAATGTCAATCAAATATCAAAATTATAATAAAATCAAGAACAGAATGTCAATCAAATATCCAAATTAGAACAAAATCAAGAATAGAACAACATTGAGAGAATAAATAAAAGAAAGGCTGACCAAGACAACTTCGATTTCGATGTAGCGCAATTCACATGAGCACAATACTTGCATTCAGCACAACAATAAAGCCAGTTGGCTCTGTTCACTTTCTTAGAACAAATGTCACAGTATGATTTGAATCTATAATCTTCGTACGGAAGAGAATAGGTAAGAGATAGAAAATGATCGTGATCACTGTGTTTGATTGTACTCATTAACGAAGCACATTTCTGATTAACCCAGAATTGACAAGTCCCACACTGATACGACGAGCCTTCGTGTTTAATTCCACAAGCATCGCACAAGAACAAGGCTGGCCTTTGAATTGGAATCAAAGGGTGTTCGTGAAAATTGAGTTCGATCTTCTGAACCAAAAACGCACACATCAAGTCAAGATTGAAATCACAAATGGAACAATTGTAAGTGAAGCCATTGCAAGGTCGTCGACAAGCATTGCAATCGTTGCGAGGGTACGGAGGAGATGTGAGGAGAGTGAGAGGGTGGTGGAGATGTAAAGGGTGGTTTGTTTGGTGAGGAAGTTGGGCACAGTCTTTGTGCAATGAGAAATAGGAACATTGGGAACATTTGACTAAAATGATATTGTCAAATGATCATTTGACTAAAATGATCTTGTTGACTCTGTTTTCATTGAGGTCTTCCAACAAGATCAGTGGATGTTTATGGCTAAAATGATCAATCTCCATATCTCGCAATCTGTGTCTGTTTGTTTCTCTACAAAAAAATCCGAGTTGATAATATTGAGCTTGGTTGAATTGTAAATTGAAGTGAAGAGCTAATAAGAGATCAATTTCTCCATAGAGGATGTGAACCCCCCGTGTCTACCACCATATACAAACATGATATTCCAAGCTCAAAGCTTTGAAAATCGTGGACTTGTTTGTTTTGTTTTTGGGAGAATTGTTTTTGAAAAAAAAATTGGAGAGAGAGTTTAAATTTTTTTTTGGTTTGTTTAGTTATATATTTTGGGAGAGTTGTTTTTTTTTAGAGTTTGGGATGATTTGATATTTTGGGAGAATTTGAGTAGATGTGTGTGAGAGAAAAAATGATTAAGAATGAGAGAGGAGAGAGAAAAAGTGATTGATTGATGTGTAAGAGAGAGAAAGTGATTTTGACATTTTTTTAAGAAAAACTCAAACTAAACAATTTTTAAAAATTTTTTTTCTAAAACTTATCTCCCAAATGCAAACCAAACATACCCCGTGTATTTTTATGCAACCGAACTAGTTTCAAAGTACCCACCCAAAAAACACTAGTTTCAATTAATTACCCAAAACAAAAATGTTTAAAGCCCTGTTTGGTAGAGCTGTGGGAAAGTACTTATAGCTTATATTTAAACAGCTTATACCTTATAACTATGAACATAAGCTGATTTCTGACTTATAAATTAAGCATTTCCTGCCCCACTCAAAGAATAAGCTGATTTCTGACTTCCAAAAAGTTATAAGCTATAAGCTATAAGCTAAACCAAACACATCAAAATAGCTTAAATTAAGCTGAAAGCTGAAATAAGCAGCTTTTAAGCTGCACCAAACAGGGCCAAAGTAGGACTGTAATGAGAGGCTACTTATGTGGTAGTAGACTCTACTTATGAATGATTTGATGTGTGTATTTTTTTATTATTTTTTTTTGCTTTATGTCATATTATTAGAGTCATTATTAAAATTCTAAATTTAAAATTATGAATCATTACTCTTATCCAAAAAATACTAATTTCAAGTTATGATTTGCACACATGACTTCATTAAAGTCGGATTTTAAGTAGACGACTTACCACCGGGGATGGTGGCCTGGTGGTGAACTTATTGGTCTTCTCTAGTCGTGAGTTAAGTTTGATTTTGGGGGGTGTGAAATGCTAGATTAATTTCAGTAGTTTTGAAGAGATTTCGTGCTGTATTTTGATTGAAACTTGGTTTTGTTGGAGGTGGTTGATGAGCTTCACAGGTACTTTGATGATACGTCCCTTCCTATGAGTTAGGTTAAATCAGATCAGCAACCGACTACCTCAGAGTTTGGACCCATGAAAGTCGTAATGACATCTCAGAACATCCTTTTTCTTATTAATAAAAAAAAAAGTACACGACTTTAATAAATTCATGTTTTTATTACACTACTCTATTTTTTTTTTCTTTAATTCGTATGATCAAAATACGATTTTGATTCTTGATTTTGGTAAATATATTGAAAAAAAATTTGCTATGAGAAATTTGATCTATAAAAGCTTGGGATATTGAAAATAACTTTACTTAGATTTATATTGAAAGGAAAAGTAGAGATTGCATGACAACACAATTATGTATATGTAGAGAGAAAGAGAGAATTTGGGATATTTCTTGCTTAATTGTTTGGGAAGCAAAAAGAAAATAGAAGACAAAAGGAAAAGCAAAAGAAGATACTTATTTCTTGTTTTTTCAGTGCTTTGGAAATTAAAGATAACAGAGTTTTAAAAGCAACAACAAACAACAAAAGGCTATATCCTCTCATACAAGGTTCCAACCATATCTGCTGTGAGAAGTGGTCAGATTGCATCATGTGGGTCTTCCATGATGACCAGGTCTTCGGGTTATTTTGCTCCTATTAAAAATTAGGCGTCCATGTGGCATGACTCATGAATCTTTTGAACCTTATTTATATAAGTTTGAATTTGAATTCAAAACTTATTTGGATAACCATTCATGATATCTATATCTATCATATCAACTGCTATTGATAGATATATCTGATATGATATATGGGATATGGGATATGAAACAACATATGTTTTTCCTATACTTACTCTCTCCCATTAAACAACAATCAAACTTTTTGCACTGTAACTTGTGTGGGTGATACTCATATTGTGGTATCACTCCACTGCTGGGTTCTTTGTTCGCATTCTTGAAGCACGTGATTTACTCACGAGATTCTTCGCTTCAGATTCTGTCACTAAGGTATGATCTGAAATTTTTACCCGCCGTGTTATACTTTAATTTACATTGGTATCAGAGCCTTATATGGGTATTTTCATGCTTATTTTTATGCATTAAAATATGTGTATAATTTTATATAAATATATACACACGATATCTGCATGAAAATTAACAAAGGAGGAAGATGAAGTGCAGGGTTTCTACACTTCCACTCTCATTAGATTGAGAGTGTAATACACCTCAATTTTTATGTTCATTAAATGCCATTTTTGAGACCATAAATGTTTTTATTTTGAAAAATGGAGTCTGACAGTACCGAAATTGAACCAGAAAACACTCTGGAAGGCGGCTCGTGGGCCGCATGCGCCATCTGACGCTGTCAGCGGCTTCCACGCGCTGCCACACGCCAGGCGCGATTTTCACGCACTACCACGCGCGCTGTCCGTGCCATCACGCGAGCGTTAGCCACGTTGTCCACGCGCGCGCCGTCCGCGTTACGCACGCGCACGCCGTGCGCTGAGCCGCGCCGTTTTTTTCTCTGCCGGCTTGGCTGCTGATGTTAAGGCACTGTTTGTTTTTTTTAATCCAGAATTGGTTTAAATGGTCATAAATAATTCGTTATAGATTTGTTTTATGCATTGTTAGTACTATTAGACTCAGAATTAAATTTTCTATCTTCTGTAAAATTTTTAAAAAATTTATGAAAATAAAAAATATTTTTTCTGTGATAATAATTCATTATTTCTGTTTTAAAATGCTTCTGGTGTTGCATGAATAATTTTCTAGGGTTGAAATTTTTATTGTAGACTACTGCAAAGTCTTATTATTTACTGGTATAATTGTTTCAGTTTATCAGATTCTGCAATATTTATTTCTAATTTTATGTGTATTTATTAGTTATTTAAAATTCCAGAAAAATTCAGAAAAATTCTAGAAAATTTCAGAATGATGTACATTCTATTATGGCATAATCTGAATATTAAATACAACATATTTTTTTTTAGGGTTTGTAATATGTTGTGATTAGAAAAGCATGCTTAGTTTTTTTTTTTTTAAATTCCATTATTAAATGAATATAGGATGAGTTATTAGTAAATTTACATTAAGATGCTATTGTATGGAATTTATCATGCTTTGTATATGCCATAAGTAGTGGCAGATTGATATATATATATATATATATATTTTTTGCGTATGGAATTAAATTGAATTTTGATAATTGTCACTAGAGGCGCAAGAGATGATTACGAGCATAGCAAATTTTCGATCTTGAGACGTGTAATATTATCATTATTTAATTTACATTCTTTTGCTGCAAAAATAATTTTTGTGTTGCTATCATTAATATCCCCAGTGCATTTGTTTACTCTGTATGTAGAAATGGCTGCTAAGACAGTGGTGGTAGACTTAACTAAGGGAGAGAAATTGGATGGCGACAATTATGACATATGGCGCCGTAAGATCCAATACCTCCTCAATGAGCAAGAAGTGTTAACCACACTTGAACAAGTGATGGTTGAGCCAGAGCAGAGCAATACAGCTCAACATCGTCGTGATCTTGAAGTCTTTCAAACTTGGCGTAACAAAGATCGGTGTGTGCACTTTACTATGTTGAGTAGGATGCACAACGACCTGATTAGTGAGTTTGAGCATTGCTCGACTGCATTTGAGATGTAGGAAGCTCTCAAGCAAAAGTTTGGTATTACCTCTTTGGTAAAGCTACATGGGCTGACTATGAAGTTTGACTCCTATCAGAAAAGGGCGCATCACTCGATGAAGTAGCATTTGAGCGTCATATCAGCCATGATACGTGAGCTTGTGGCCGCTGGGCACAATTTGACTCAAGAATAGCAAGTACAAGCTGTGATTCGCTCTCTGCCAAATTCTTGAGAGCAGATGAGGCAGAATATGATGCATAATGAGAGTGTGAAAACATTCGAAAACATATCGCGTCATTTGGAGCTAGAGGTTGAGAGCCTTGAGGCGGCTAAGTCTGATGGTTCTGCTATGGTAGTTGAGTCGAGCTCACGTAGGACTTCTCAGTTCAAACGTGGAAAAGCAAAAGGTGCCCCTAAGAAGCAAGCAGCAGCTACGCTAAAGCCCAATGGCGCTAGAAATTTCAAGCGTAACGGCAAGAGAGGTGGCAAGAAGGTAAAGGCTAAATTGACATGCTTTAACTGTAACAAAGAAGGACACTTCGCTTAGGATTGCCCTGAGCAGAAGAAGGTACTCCCTTACTTAATTTCTCGCATTCAATGCTTTGTTTCTAGTCAAGCATTAATTGCTCATTCTCCTCATTTTTGGGTTGTAGACTCCAGTGCAACAGACCACATCGCGAGGGACAGAGTAGGGTTCTTTGAGTATCGCCAAGTACCTGCTGGGAGCAGAAAATTTTACATGGGGAACGAGTCTAGTGTGGAGGTGCTTGGCATTGGCACATACAAGCTAGAAATGCGACAAAGGCGCACCTTGTATCTACATAATGTTCTTTATGCTCCGGATATTCGGCGAAACACTACAACAAAAATAGTCTTTAGAGACGAAAACTAATGACGAAATTTTTTTTTGTCACGAAATATGTATCTTTTAATGACGAAAATCATATTTCGTCTCCAAATCCACCTCGCATGGCCACCCACAACTCCACATAAGTGCATTTATTTGGGAACAATTTTTTATGGTTTTGGTTATCTTTCAGATGGTTTTTTAGTTTTGGATGTGGATGATTCTAGTCTTAATAAAAATGCCAATGGCTCTATTTCTAATATTGCATCTTTTTGTGATAATGATTCTATGAGATGGCATGCTAGATTAGGCCACATAGGGCAAGACATGATGACTATATTGGCTAGAGAAGGTCTTTTAGGCCCACTCGCTAGAGTCACTTTGCCTACTTGTGAGCATTGTCTTGCTGGAAAGGCAAC